AGTTGTCTCCTACTCATAGCTACTCTGTGTACAACAGAATGAAACACTGCCCCATCCTGTGCCAGCCTCACGGTCCTGCTGTAACTGAGCCCATTGCTGCAGCCACCGTGTCAATCCATCCTGTTGAGGGCCTTCCCCTCCCTTATTGGCCCTCTCCTTCACCAAGCATGACATCCTTCTCCAGAGAATGCTCCCTTCTGACAATGTGACCAGAGTAGGTGCGATGAAGTCTGGCCATCTTCTCTTCCAAGAAGCATTTTGGCTGCACTTCCTCCAGGACAGATTTGTTAGTTTTTTTAGCAGACCACAGTACTTTCAGTATTTTTTGCCAACATCACAACTCAAAAACATCAACTCTTCTTTGGTTTTCCTTATTCATCGTCCAGCTCTCACATGCATAGGAGGCAATTGAAAATACCATGGCTTGGGTTACGTGCATCCTAGTCTTCAAGGAGACATCTTTGCTCTTCAGCGCTTAAAAGAGGTCTTTTGCAACAGATTTGCCCAATGCAATACATTTTCTGATGTCTTGACTGCTGCTTCCATTGGCATTGGTTGTCGAACCAAGTGATATAAAGTCTTTGACAACTTCAGTCTTCTCCGTCTGTTGTGATGCTGCTTATTGGTCCAGTTGTGAGGATTTTTGTATTCTTTATATTGAGATGTAATCCAAACTGTAGACTGCAGTCTTTAATCTTCATCAGGAAGTGCTCCAAGTCATCCTCACTTTCAGCAAGTAAAGTTGTGTTGTCTGCATATCTCAGGTTGTTAATGAGCCTTGCTCCAATCCTGATACCACATTCTTCATATAGTTCAGCTTCTCAGAGTGCTCAGCATACAGATTGAGTAAGTATGGTGAAAGGATACAACCCTGACACACTCCCTTCCTGGTTTTAAACCATGCAGTCTCCCCTTGTTCTGTTCTAATGACAGCCTCCTGGTCTATGTACTGGTTCCTCATGAGTACAATTAAGTGTTCTGGAATTCCCATTCTTCTCAATGTTACCCACAATTTGTTACGATCCACACAATTGAATGCCTTTGCACAGTAAATAAAACACAGGTAAACATCTTTCCGGTATTTTTCGCTTTGAGCCAAGAGCCATCTGACATCAGCTATGATATCCCTCACTCCACATCCCCTTCTGAATCCACCTTGCATTTCTGGAAGTTCTCTGTCAATATACTGCTGCAACCGTTTTTTGAATTATCTTCAGTAAGATTTTACTTGGGTTTGATATTAATGATATTGTTTGATAATTTCCCCATTCTGTCAGATCACCTTTCTTTAGAAGGGGTACAAATATGGATATCTTCCAGTCAGTTGGTCAGGTAGCTGTCTTCCAAATTTCTTGGCACAGCTGAACGAGTGCTTCCAGCACAGCATCCATTTGTTGAAACATCTCAATGGGTATTCTGTCAATTCCTAGGGCCTTGTTTTTTGCCAATTCCTTCAGTGCAGCTTTGACTTCTTCCTTCAGTACCATTGGTTCTTGATCATATGCAACCTCCTGAAATGCATGAGCATCTACCAGTTCTTTTTGGCACAGTGACTCTTCCATCTTCCCTTGATGTTTCCTGCATCATTCAACATATTGCCCATGGAATCTTTCAGTATTGCAATTCGAGGCTTAAATTTCTTCCTCAGTTCTTTCAGCTTGAGAAATGCCAAGTGTGTTCTTCCCTTTTGGTTTTTTTAACTCCAGGTCTTTACACATTTCATTATAATAATTGACTTTGTCTTCTCGAGCTGCTGTTTGAAATCTTCTGTTCAGCTCCTTTATCCTGTCGATTTCTCCATTTGCTTTAGCTACTCTCTGTTCAAGGGCAAGTTTCAGAGTCTCTTCTGACATCCATTTTGGTCTTCCTTTCCTGTCTTTTTAATGACCTTTTGCTTTCTTCATGGATGATGTTCTTGATGGCATCTCACAATTCTTCTGGTTTTCGGTCATTGGTGTTAAGTGTATCAGTTCTATTCTTTAGATGGTCTCCAAATTCAGGAGAGATATAATCAAGGTCATATTTTGGCTCCTGTGGACTTGTTTTAATTGTCTTTAGCTTCAACTTGAACTTACATATGAGCAGTTGATGGTCTGATCCACAGTCAGCTCCTGACCTTGTTTTGGCTGAAGATATTGAGCTTTTCCGTTGCTTCTCACCACAGATGTAGTCAGTCTGATTCCTGTGTACTCAGTCTGGTGAAGTCCATATGTATAGCCACCATTTAAGCTTTTGAAAAAAGGTATTTACAATGAATAAGCCATTGGTCTTGTAAAATTCTATCATGCGATCTCCAGTGTCATTTCTATCACAAAGGCCATGTTTTCCAACTACCACTGATTCTTCTTTGTTTCCAACTTTTGCATTCCAATCACCAGTGATAATTAACACATCTTGATTGCATGCTTGGTCAATTTCTGACTGCAGGAGTTGGTAAAAATCTTCAATTTCCTCATCTTTGGCTTTGATGGTTGGTGCATAAGTTTGAATAATAGTAATATTAACTGGTCTTTCTCATAGGCATATGGATATTATCCTATCACTGACAGTATTGTACCTCAGGATAGATTTGAAACATTCTTTGTGATAATGAATGCCATGCCATTCCTCTTCAATTTGTCATTCCCAGCATAGTAAATTGTATGGTTGTCTGATTCAAAATGGCCAAAACCAGTCCTTTTCAGTTCACTAATGCCTAGGATATCAATCTTTATGCATGTCATTTCATTTTTGACAACTTCCAATTTTCCTAGATTCATACTTCGTACATTCCATGTTCCAATTATTAATGGATGTTTGTAGCCGTTTCTTCTCGTTTTGAGTTGCACCACATCAGCAAATGGAGGTCCCAAAAGCTTTACTCCATCCACATCATTAAAGTCAGCTCCATTCTGAGAAGGCAGCTCTTTCCTAGTCATAGTTTGAGTGCCTTCTGACCTAAGAGGCTCATCTTCTGGCACATTTAGAGAAGAGAAAAAATGTGGAGTAATGGTAGTAAACTCAACTTTTTAGTTATTTCTGATGTGAATGTTGGGATACATTTAACAAAAGATGTGCAAAATCTATATGCTGAAAACTGCAAAACATTGCTGAGAAAATTAAGGAAGACCTAAATAAATGGAGAAAAACATCATGCTTTTTGACTGGAAGACTCAAGATTTCAGTGTTGTCCCATATTGATCCATAGGTTCAATGCAATTCCAGTCAGAATCCTGAAGGAGTTTCATAAATTTTGACAAGATGGCTCTAAAATATATATGGAAATTCAAAGCACCTGGAATAGTCAAAACACTTTTGAAAAGAGATCTCACACTGCCTGATTTCAAGACTTTTTAAAGCTGCAGTAATCAAAACAGTGTCTCAGTGGCATAATGATAGATTAATAGGTCAGCGAAACAGAGTAGAGTCCAAAATAAACCCATATTTATACATTCAATTGGTTTCCAACAAAAGTGCCAAAGCAATTCATTGGGAAAAAATAAATCTTTTCACAAATTTTGCAGAAATTTTTTTCGTGAAAAAAAATTACCTCAATCCTGCTCTTACAACATACACAGAAATTAATTTGAGATGGACCATGGTCTTAAATGTAAAAGTTAAATTATAAAGCTTCTAAAAGAAAATAGAACATCTTTGTGAGTTTGATGTATGGAAAGATTTCTTAGAAGGGATACAGAAGCACAAACAATAAAGCTACAATTTTGTAAATAAGACTTCATCAAAATTAAAAACTTCTGCTTACCGAAGACATTGTTAAGGAATTAATAGGCAAACCACAGACTTCAATGAAATATTATATATATATATATATATACATATACATATATATATATATATATATATATATATATATATATACACACACACACACACGTGTGTGTATGTGTGTGTATATATATGATTTTGTACCTAGTATTGGGCATTTCTCAAAGAAGATACATGAGTGTCTGAATAGCACATTAAAAGGTGCTCAACACCATTGCTAACTAGGGAAATGAAATGAAAACCACAATAAAATACCACTACATAACCATTAATGTGGCTCAGATTAAAAGACTGACATCATCAAACTTTCATGATTATGTGGAGCAACTGGAACTCTTACACTTTGTGGGTAAAAGTTTAAAATTATATTACCACTTTAGGAAAAACACTGGCTGTTTCTTATTAAATTAAATATGCATTTACCCTATGTCCCAGCAGTTCCACTCCCAGGCATTTATTTACCAACAAGAAATGAAAACAAAAAACCTTACCAAGAATGTTCATTAGGTGTTTATTGATAATAGCCCCAAACTTTAAATAACCCAAGTATCTATCAAAAGAAGAATGGATGAGGAAATTGTGGTATAGTCATACAATGGAATATCCTCAGCAATAAAAATTAACAAATTACTGATACATACAACTACACAAATGAATCTCAAAACTATTGAGCAAAGGAAGGCAGCACAGCATAATGCATGCTGTATTATTCCACTTATATGAAGCTTTAGAACAGACAAAACTTGTTAAAGGAAAAAAAAAATCAGTGTTTACTTCGAGTGAGGGCTGAGGGATTGACTAGTAAGAGACACAGGGAACATTTTATCGTGATAGAAATGTTCTGTATTGTGATACACACGTGTGCTTTTGTCAAAATGCATTGAACAATATCACTTTAGTTTTATGTATTTCACTGTACATAAGTTATATTTCAATAAAATGTATATAAAAGACTAAAAGAGAAAAAAGGTGAATATCTCTCTGAACAGATAAATGTCAAAACTTAATGTTCAGTGAAAAGAGAAATTGCAAAAGGATTCCTACTGTATGATACTGTTTATATATATTTTAAGGTCACAAAACAATTTTACAAATTGTTCTTGGATAAATAACAGATAAGTATTTTTTAAATACCTGGGAATAACAAAAAATTAAAATTAAAAAAACCTCCAAACTTTACATTATTTCCCCATCAGTGCCCTCAGTAATACAGTTTTGGTCCTCTTTGGCTTCAGGTCAACATCAGCACCCAGGAGCTTTGGGAGGAAATGCTCAGTTCCAAAGGACTAACTGGTAATTTAAAATAATTTTTCTGATCCATTCTTTTCAAAATTGTTAAGTGACTTACTGAACCATGAAGAGAAGGGCTGCACTATGCACCATTTTCCTATAACCTTAAGCCTCGTGCTAAAAAGGCAAGGAGGCCACATCTTCTGACTTCCTCTAACCCCACAAGAGGCAGACAGAATCACCATCAGCAACCCAAGGCCTATTCCTGCAAGGCCAGACATGCTGCCTCCCTCCAGCCCTTTCACCAACCGTTCCTCCCAAAGCACCCA